CTGCGCCGGCGGCTGGTTCCTCTGCCCGGACTCGGCCGGGCCCCAGGCCGGCTGCTGCCCCTCGAGCTACGCGTGCGGCCCCGCCAGCTGCACCCTCACCGCCGACGGCGCCGCCGCCACGGTGCAGAAGGAGCGGCCCAACGGCGCGGCGGCGAGGCTGGTGGGCTGCGCCGGCGCCGTCGTGGTTGGTGTTCTCGTATCCCTGGCGCATCTCCTCTAAGCGGGTGTTCCATTGCGTCCGCCCAGGAGGTTACAACAGCACCCTCGAGGTAAATAAAGCAAAGATTTAATGATTTTGGGAGATGGAAAATGTGAAAAGAGCAACATACGGCGCTATACATACATATATGGCATTTACGAGAATATTTGGCATGGCATGAACGGCTCTATCGAGCTGGACTGGAATGTGGACGACACAATGAGCTGGAATGCAATCTTGGCGACCAGCAACTTCGATATAGACCATCTGAAAGGAGTTGAAAGGATTGATTCGTATTTGATAATATTAGCTGAGTAGTATAGACGTTATAGCATCATAGACATTTTGGAAGGATATCTCACTCGTCCATACTCTCATATCTTACGTCCATGATTTGCTATCCCCTGTTCGCATATGTCTGCCCGAGCTCCCTATTTCGCACCAGCATTCCATTCTTGCACCCCTTCTTCTCTATCCTCGCTCCCATCTTGTACGTAGTCATCCGTCTCGTATTTGTATTTGGGCGACATGATACGGTCCAGTACGTGGATGATGCCGTTATCCGTCCTGGCTCGCGCTTGTCAGCAAACGAAAGTCGGCCATCAGCCGGTGCGTGCGGCCTGGAGACTCCAGGGGCACACGGGTGACAACAGCAAGGAGCAGCTTACGGATAATCCGGCTTTATGACCTTGGCGTCGTTGAAGTAGTAGTACCCGTCCCTGATGGAGACCCTCACGTCCCCTCCGTCCAGGGACTTGAGGACCTGCCCGTCGCGCAAATAGTAGGTGTAGGTGACCCCGGGCAAGACGTGGCGGCTTATCGAGGGGAATCTCTGGTCAGTAGCAGCCCTTGCTTCTCGTGGGACGGGCACGGGTCTATGAAACTCCAGCACGTACTGCAAGGTTCTCTTGTAAAACCTCTCACCGTGCCTGAATGCCTTGTTGCTCGGGGCGAGGCAGGTGACGTTGAACGCGTTGTCGACCAGCGGCCAGAGATCATTCCTCCGCATCTTCTCGTCGAGCTTGTCCAGGCTCCGGATGCGCCGGCTGGTCTTGGAGCAAAGATCGGGTATCTCCAGGTATCTGTTTTGAGAACCATGTATTGTCAGTGCTACCTGGCAAAAAAGTAACAACCTTTGGAGACGGCAGCGAGGAAAGCAGACGAGAGATCCCGTAGGCGGGGGGTATGACGGATGGAAACTACCTGTCGATGAGCTGATAGTACCCGCGGTCCCAGCTGCCGTCCGCAAACGTGATGGTGCTCTCCGACGCAAGGCCGCCGCGGGCCCCGGTGTCCCCATCAGAGCCAGAGCTGCTCCTGATCCTTCGCCTGCGCAAGCCCAGCGGCCGTTGGCTGATAATGATGACATTTCTCAGTATATCGAAGGGAGACTGGGACTGGGTACCGACCGCGGCGGCGCCGGCCACTCCGGCGGCTATCGAGAGCGCGGTATCTGCGGGGAGGCCGCCCTGCTGGCCGCCCTGCTGGCCGCCCTGGGTGTTGACGGCGTTGCCCTGCTGCCGCCTGGACAGCCGGGGGGCATAGGCGTCCTCGGTGGAGTAGTCGTCGCCGTCGGCCGAGTAGTCGTCGCCGTCGGCCAAGTAGTCGTCCTGTGCCGCGGTGAGGTTGCTGCTGGTCAGCGGGCCCAGGATGGTGTGGTACCTGAGGATGTCGTGGATCCTGTCCTCGGACATGGACTCGAGGCGGTTGCCAGTCTCAGCATGGTGCCTATTCAGGGCGCCATTGGTGGGTACCAGGATGGTAACGTTGGTCCAGCCGTCCGGGATGATGGAGTCGAATATATCAGGGTTGGCGTCGAGGAACTTTTTGAAGTAGGAAAGCTTTGGATTGTCTGATATTGCCGTGGAAAGGTCTTGGGCCGCGGCGGCCTGGAAGACGCTTGATAGGAGCGCCAGACACCAAGGGAGGCGCATCATCACGTCCGTCGATTAATAACCTAGTGCTGTTCTTTGCAGCTTGGTAGGCAGCACAGCCAAACTTCAAGGTTGCTTTTTGCGTTTGGTAAGGATACTACAGAAACACAAGGTAGCAGATACAGGAGTAGATAAAGACGCGCCAAGGAAGAGCAGGCACCAGCAAATATATTTTGGGCGACAGCCATATCTTGAAGCATGTCATGCTGGTGCAGCGCGCAGGAAAGGGTTGGCTGGGAGAGTCGTAAGTTTGTCGACCCAGTCGATGATACGTCCATAGGCGACATCACTCCAGATACGACCACGGTCAACATCACCATTCTCCTTCTCCACGTCATGTTAATGTATGAAAGTATTGGCCATTACACCTGCTCAGCGTTGCTGGGTGGAATGCTTGGTCTTTGTTTCTTCCAGTTCCGCGCTAAACTTTATTTCAACGCGCGAAGAGCACGGCAAGATCCAATGTCCTAGGGCTGGAATGCATCGAGAACTGTGTCTCGAGCCTTTTCTACCGCTTCAGCACGCGGCACAGAAAAGCCAAAACAGAGAGGCTGGGTATTGGCATCATGGTCAGTACCAAGGTTTTAATCCAAGGATTTGAAGAGTATCGCGTGAAGCAGCGCGAGCTCGCGAGCAAGCTTGTGCTGGGATATGGCCTGGGGCAGATGCGGCTCCATGTGTGTCGTCTCCAACTTTTTCCTTGGGCCAGTGTCACTTCTCTAGGTCGATATAGCATCTTCTCTGGATTTCAGGTTACTTGCACACATATCTTGTACGACGCCAAAATCCTATCTGGGTTCGAGGGCCGATATAGCCACGAATTCATGTGTAATCTTTCCACGCGGTCCACCGTCCTGCTCCAACCCTGCCGGGCTATCGGGAATTGAGCACATTCACCAGCCGTGTTCAAGACGGTTCTCCTTCTATTATAGCCTTACGCAAAACGCCCCACGTGGCACTGGGCTTCGGCTCTTCCCTACGGGCACACTCGTCAGGAAGCCTACTATCAACCACGCATATCCTTCAGGCTGTACTGAAGCGGCATGCCGTCTCTGCCAGCTTCTCATGCGTGTTGGCCTGATGCCTCCAGCCGGACGAGATGCAGACGAGCACGCAGCAGGCGGATCAAAGACATCTGCCAAATCAAATCGGCTAAAGTGCTCAAAGAGCTTACGCACACTGCCCTCCTTCCCTCCCTTCGGCTTTCTCCGGCCGACCTCGTCGCCCGTGATCTGCACCGCTTGTTTTTGTCGAAGCCCACCAATGTGTGTGCGCCTGTTCCACACGCTTCGCGGGCACACGGCCGACGGCTCTGTCTGTGACTGCGTTGCAGGGGAAGGTCAAAAGTAGCGAAGAGAGATGTCGATTTCCTGGATCCAGGCCGGAGGCCCGGCCCTCGCCATGTAACGAGGGCGAGGTCCCACTACTTGCACGAGACTCGTGCGAGGAATGGGCCCTTCCTATCTAATCTGCTCTATCTAATCAGTCCCCCTACGTCTGTCGTGATACTGCCCATGCCCGATCCTGCCTTTGTGATCCAGCGGGCCTTATCGCCGGCAAGTCGGGGGGTCCGGTGTGTTTCCATTATATTGTCCTAGTCGCTGACGCTCCCCCTGGGCCTTCCCGTAAGCTCCGACAATTATCTTTTTCATCACACCCCGCGCTTCTGGGCGCTGCTTACCGCCATGGGGATATGGCCTTCGCGAGGCAGGCCACCATGGCCACTAAGCTCCTCGGTCGCACGAGAGAGACGGGGTTTCGCCAAGCTTCCTCGTTGCCGTCCACTCCCGAGCGGTCGGTGCGACGGACCCTCGAGCGCGGCTCCTATCATTTCCCGCCCTCTGGCTCCGCCATGTCTTGGCCAGGCTGGTCGTGTGATGCATCCGCTGGCCCCTTGAAATTGTTCGACTATCTATCTGCTGATCCGTTCGTCCAGTCATCTATCCGGTCTCGTCTCTCCTCCCTCTTTCCATGTCCGTCTTCTCTCTCTGGGCGGGCTCCTTTTCTTCAAGATGTCACACCGCCCCCGTACTCCCAGAGGCCATATCGGGGGCGTCAAGTCCCGGTCCACGACAGCCGTCCCTACCGATCCTGGCTACGGTTTTGGATACCATCACGCCATGCGTTTATTGCGCAGTGTGTAGCATCGCCGCCCCTGGACGGGTAGCCGCCGCAGTGCTGCGCGCTTACTTTCCTAGCCTTGGGGGCCGCCGCTCTGACTGCTTTCAGATCTGTCTTTCGCTTTCACTGGAACTTGAGAGTGAGCTTCTCACTTTCTGGGACTTGGACTACACCGTCGGCGATGGGATATAGCCTCCTATAACCAGCATCTTATGATCGACTGCTCGAAAGAACTATATCCTCCCCGAGTCACCCATACCGATCCTCCCTCGTCTCCAGCCGCCTCGAACAAGCCGCACCTTGAGACCATAGCGACAAGATGGCTCGCACCATCCCGACGCCCACGCCAAGGACCCGACTCCTGACCCGGCTCCTCCTCGCCCTCCTCCTCCAACTACCGCCCCTGTCCACACCGCGGGCCGCCGCGCGCCCGCAGGCGCCTGCGGCGCGGCCGCGGCCGTACCTCGACGTTGTGTGCAAGCCGCCAACGCTGCGGGCGGGCGAGGTGGTGCCGCCGTGCATCTCGGCCGACGTGACCGAGGCGCTCTGCTTCCCCAACGGCACGACGCCGCTGCACGTCGAGGCGCACGCCCAGTGCATGTGCCGCGGCTCCTACTTCGCCGAGCGCGCCGCCTGCCGCGCCTGCCTGGCCCTGCACGGCCTGCTGCCCGAGCCCGACGCCTTCCTGGACGCCGCCGTCGACGCCGCCGCCAGCAGCGCGCTGTGCGGCTTCCTCGCCGTCACCGACCCGCCGCCCGCCACTTCGCCACCACCGCCACCGTCGGTGCCCTTTAGGGCCCTGTCCGACTCTGCCGAGGCGGCTCTCGCTCCCGGCGGCCGGCCGGCCGGCGCGGCAACAGCCGGCCGCGACGGGCCGGGGCCCGACGACAAGGCCCCCTCGCGGACCGAGGTCAGCCTCTACTACACGCCGAGCGGGCCGCAGGGGCCGGGCCCGATCACGGGGAGCGCCGCGCTGGCCTCGGCCACCGGCCTGCAGTTCGCGACGGGGAGACCGCCCCTATTGGGGACCGCGGCCTCGGCACCGCCGCCTCTGCTGACGGCATCGCCGCCGCCTTTGACTCCCTTTGGGACCGGCGCGCCGGGGAGCTCGGGGGTTGGGACCACAACCGGTGATTCCCCTTCGGTGTCGAGGGCAGCCGCGGGGTTGAGGACGGGAAAGAGCCGGGTACTGGTTTCACTGGGTTTCTGGGCACTTGCGACTAGATCTGTGCTGTAGTTGCTTCTCCTTTTCTATCCATCGGTGTCTCCCTTCTTGCGTGTCTGCCCACACCCGCACCTTATGGTGGTCTTTGGAACTTTTGCTTCTCACTCCGTTCATCAGTAAACCAGTGACAAAGAGTTCTCAGGTGATCATGGCTTTTCACTATGCCTTGAATATCCCTAAAATTTGCAACAAGATGCTTATCATCTGGTTTGATTGTTTGTTTGCTTGATGTGATTCCTCCTCGTGATCTGCCGTCGCTGCTGAAACTATGCAATCTCTCATATGCCATCATCTCCAAACAAACAAATTCGGCCATGATACCCTCTACCGGACGGTTATCTATCCTTCCTTGGGCATGTGCGTGAAGGGCTTGGCCAGGCTCTCTTGGCAAAAGGGAAGCTTGCCGACAGTCCAAATCTCGGTGTCCTACAAAGCGTGTCAGTGATTTCACATAACCATCTCGCCCGTTTCCATCAGCGGCGCGTATGAAGCTCACAGGCTTGAGGGTCTTCTTGATCTCCGCGTCGAGAGTGCCGCCCTTGAGAGCAATAATCTCCGGGACAGCATCAGGGTCGTGGGCAATAGGCGAGCCACACTCGCTGCAGAAGATGCGGTGGACGGCCTTGCCTGAGCTGCCCTTGCCTGCCCACGATTTGGTCGGGCCGTCGATGGTGAGCTTGTCCTTGGGCACGACGACGACGAGTGCTGTACATCAAAAGGGCTGCCGTTAGTCATGCTGCATCCAGATCTTTCGTGCTGATGTGCGATTCAGTGCTGACTGCGCGCCTGCCCAGCACTGGTTGGCGGGGTCTGGTGGGGTCTGGTGGGGGTTGTAGCGCACACGACGTCATCCCCGGCGGGGCTGCCTCCTCTGTGCAATGGAGCACTAGAAGAGTGAAGGGGCTTCTGTGCACTGAAGACCTCGGGCGGAAACTCACAATAAGTCGAGCCGGTCTGGCGCTGGCAGTCGTCACAATGGTCGTATCCGGTAATTATGGGCGCATCCACATCGACCTTGTACGTGACGGCCTTGCAGAGGCAGTGTCCGGTGAGAACCATTTTGGGCAAGCTGGTGGTCCAGAAGCGGAAAGTCTGGTGTTCCCTATGCAGAAGAAGCTTTTGATGAGAACCCGGATGGACAATGTGGCAGCCCGTGTAGGGCAAGGGTAGAGGCTGGTGGATTGCCCTGCCGAGGAAGGGATGTGTACCTGTGCTTGTACTACTGAATCTGTAAATCTAGATTCACACTTGCTGTGGATGTCGTGAAGATGGTCGTTGTGGTGTTGCTGTCGATACGATTTGCTGTCGGTGTCGAGATGGCTTTGACAACGGCACAAAAGGCAAGGGGAGAGGGACCTCGAAAGCTTTATACGGCAGACGCCTCCAGCATCCCAGCATTACCGAGCTCCTCCCTCGCCTGAGAGGGCGGGCACCTTCGGCTCACAGTTGACCATCAGTATGACAAACGGACCGGACAACAGACGAATCTATTAGGATCCTCAGGGCGCTAGCACTGTACCTGCCGTACTCCCCCCGAGGTACCTATACGCACATGCACAGCAACTCCCACGCAAGGGAGGATCAAACATTCCCCATGCAGTGTCTTGCATTTGCGACGTTGCCCTCGCCGAGCTCCATGAACGGGGCTGGCTTATCACGACAACAGTAGGGACAGGGTGCTGCTGCAATGGGACAAAACAGGGATCCAAACGAAACAAGAGCTGCCTGGAGCCAAAGCATTATCGTATGCGCCCCCCAACCAAGTCAACTGCCAAGTAAACTGCCGGTATATGTGCGATCAGGCCGGGCCGTGGTGATGTGATTGGCGCTCACTTGCATGCAGCGTGACTTAGGGGCGTGGAGAAGTTACATGCACATGTAGCTGGCAGCCCTGAAGTCGCTGAACATGGATGAAGGATGCGGGACACGAGCACATATCTGGAATACTTGCATCCAGCCACCCAACCTTAGTTTCATCTAGAATGTCCACAGAACGCCAGAGTGTTTATGGCTACCAAAATAACCGCAAGAGTCGGCGAATACAAAAGCAAATGCGGGCATAAGCAGGGCAGTCAGAAAAATTCGGTGATACAGCAGCTAGTACTGTATTTGTCATTATGTTGCAAGCTGGAGATCCCCGCACTTGCTCTAATTAGCGCTGTGGATAGCAGCTTGCTCCAGCTAGTGATACGCTGAAGATTTGGAATTCTCGCCGACTGGACTGGACAGGAAGGAACATCGTAAATCCAAATAATCCTGCGCTACCTCGGTCGTCCAACAGCTCCAGCTCGGCGAGTTCAGGGGCTGGCACCTCGATCCGAGTCTCAATTCATGTTCCCCGCCAACACCGTCGAGCCTTCCGAATACCTTCCAAATACAGCACCCATGCCGACCTCGGACCTGAGCCTGTCGACACACACCAACAGACGCACCTCGACGTTTCGCAGACGGCACCCAGCACATGCGGCCAGCCCACTTAAGCTCCTTCCTGCTGTGCCGCCTTTGACAGCTGGTCTTGTCCTAAGTCAGCAACCAGACTGACAGCGTCGGCGCCATGGGCCACCATCAATAACAGTAGACGGACCCAACCTACGGGCGGTCGGCTTGCTGGTGAATCTCGGGAAGGCTGTAGGAATTTCGCTTCTTTCCCATCACCGATGAATAACACGACCCGTCTTGTGGAAAAAATGCGCGCCGTCCCGCTTCTCGAGCCTATTTAGCCGGGAGAACGAGCTCCGAACGCCTGATCCGGTCATGTCTCCCATCCAAGAATCAGGTACATATTACTCGGCGCGAGTGTTAATCTCACGAGTCGAGCGCGGCGGCGTTCTGTGACTTGACAGTGGCGGACTGTATCGTCTGTTTGTCCTTCTGCCGAGGCCTAACCTCTGTGCGTCCGTCTGTGGGCTTGGAGATACAATGCGGCCGCTGACGACGATGATGTTCCCACTCATAACTCGCGCCGCCGCCGTCCTCGGCACCTCGGCCTACGCCGTGACGGCGCAAGCGGGGCAGACCGGCCGCTTCCTCGGCCGTGTCGACCCGTCCACGCGGGAGCTGACGTGGCCGGCCACCGGCATCGCCGTCGCGTTCGAGGGGACGTCGGCGAGCATCCCCATCACGTCCAAGACGGGGGACCCCGCCGTCGAGATGGTCGTCGACGGCGGCGCGCCCATCGTGATGCACAGGGTCACGGGCTCCAGCATCGACACCCCGCCGGGCCTCCCGAGGGGCCGCCACACGGTCGAGATCCGCAAGCGATCCGAGGCGTACTTTGGCAGCCTCTTCCTGGGCGAGCCGACAACCGACGGCACCCTGCTCCCCGTCCGGGCGCCCAAGCAGCGCATCGAGCTCATCGGGGACTCCATCACGGCGGGCTACGGGCTCGAGGGCGTGTTCCCGTGCGCAAACGCCGCGCACCTCGAGGCGGCGACCCGGACCTACGGGGCGCTGACCGCCCGGAACCTGTCGGCCGACTACTCCATCGTGGCCTGGTCGGGCAAGGGCGTCACCAGGAACTACGTGACCCCGGAGCCCGACCCGTCGCCCCTGATGCCCGAGCTGTGGGCGCAGTACGGCGCGCTCTCGCCGCGGCCGTACGACTTTGCGACCCCCGTCGACGCCGTCGTCATCAACCTGGGCACCAACGACTTCTCGTTCCGGACGGGCGTGCGGCCCCAGCTCGACATGGCCGTCTTCACGGCCGCCCTGACGAGGTTCGCCAGGGCCGTGCACGCGAGGTACCCGAGCGCCGCCATGTTCATCACCAGCTCCCCGCTGCTGGGCAACGACACGCCCGAGCAGCAGCGGACCAAGCACGTCGCCGCCGTGAAAGCCACCATCGCGTCGCTCGACTTTACAGCACACTTTGTCGACTTCCCCACGCAGGACGCGTCCAACAACAACATCGGTTGCGACTACCACCCGTCCGCGCGCACGAACGAGGAGATGTCCGTCATACTCACGGCTGCTATCCAAAAGGTGATGGGCTGGGGCGCGTGCAGGTCTCGGAGTCTATGATGATGGTTTCCAGGGTGTGAGATTCCACTTATACAAACTCATGTACTCACACTCACACATGCTACTGCATACCGGCCAATATAATAAATATGTACCAACGTAAGCACCTATTTACAAGCTGGACATCCGCCGACACCTCTGGCCAGATGCAAGTTCTACAATGGTGAAGCCATAAATAGCTCCGACCCGCCATTCCAAGTTAAAAGGTCAGCCCCACCACTGCTCAGGGAAAGACGCTGCTCAGAACACCCGAGTACTCCTTGTACGACAGGCCCATCTTCTCAATGTCGTACTCGTTCCAGTACCCGCCGCCGCCGAGCGTGCCCCTGGCGGCCCAGGCGGCGAAGCGCGTGCGGGCCTCGGCGGGCGTGACGCCGTAGTACGGCTTGGAGTCGTTGATGACCCAGAGCAGCGGCACCATCTTGATGCCGAGGCTGTCCTGCCACGCGATGGGGTCGTTGCCGGCGCCGCCGTCGTAGCACTGCAGGTACATGCGGTCGAGCAGCCAGTCCTTCTCGGCCAGGCCGCGGTTGAGCTCGGCCAGCAGGCTGCGGTAGAAGTTGCGGTTGGTGTAGGGGCTGGCCGCGTACTTGTAGCCCATGCGCCCGAGCATCTTGGCGAAGACGACGGTGCTCGACACCTCGTAGATGGCCTCGTCGTTGTTGTTGACCGCGTCCAGGTTCCAGGCCTCCTTGAGCGCGGCGAAGTTGCGGTACACGTTCGTGTTGGTGCCGGGCCCGGGCGAGGCCATGAGCTCGCGCACGTTGTTGGAGTTCATGCAGATCTCGAGCCGGTTCACGGTGCTGCCGGGGGCGCTCTTGAGCGACCGCACCTTGGCCTGCAGGGCCGCGCCGCCCACGTAGGCGCCGCCCGACGCCACCACCACGTCCTTGCTGCCGGGCGTGTTGGAGTAGTACATGATGTCGCCGTTGGCCAGCACGCCGACGCCGAACATGACGAGCGAGTTGAAGCCCGACTGCGTGATGGCCGTCGTGTTGGACACCATGACGTCCTTGAAGAGGTATATGTTGCGGATGTTGGCCGCCACGCTGAGCGGCACCAGCAGCGCCAGGAGGAGGGCCGTCGCCCAAGCCGGGGCCTTCATCTTTGCTGGCAGTCGGTCGGCTATGGACTGTTTTTTTTTGGTGAGGGAAATCAGATGAGAAAGGTCTGGGGGGTGGGAGTGGACGGAGAGGCCTGGCAACAGACTCTCCCCGGCAAGGATAGGCCTGGCCGTGGCTGCCGGCTATATAGGCACCTACGGACCGCGGCGGCCCAAGGGTGGAGATGCTCTCGATCGAGGCCGGCAGTTGGCGGCCAGGCGGGGGAACGCTTGGCTCCAGCGGCGATGACACCCTGAGATAGGTGCACTGTCCGGAACCGGAAGGTCGTCGTCGCGAGAGAGGCAGGAGAGGCCGGATATCTTGCCATCGCTGCATTCCCAAGGTCGCATCTCGGGCGCGTATAGCGGCGCATCTTGATATCACATCACTTCTGCGTCCTGATTGTGGTAGGAGGGGGCGCCAAGATCAAAAACCCCGCTCGGAACTCCCCGCACCTCCTTCCGACACGTTCCTAGATTTGACATATGCATGGTGTTTCTGGAGGGAACCAAACTAGTGCTGTGTTCAGCGGCGACGACAAGGGTGTGATCAATCTTGCCGCTGCTGACCTGATTCGCCGGAAGATGGATGGTTGGGCCAAGTAATGAAGGAGGGATGGGCGGTAATTTACCGACCTTTTCTGAGGAAATCGTGGCGGCAACAACACCAAATGTAGGGAGTTCAAACCGCAATACATCGGGATGTTCGATCCCCCACGCAAAACCACAGATGACCCAAGAGACATCTCAAATCAGCAGTGGAAGATTAATCACATCCTTTTCATCGTCGTTAAACATAGCACTGACTTAGGATGTCTCTAGGGTCTTCCGAAGTCTTGCGTGGAGGATCCAACATCCCGATGTATTGCGGTTTGAACTCGCTCCATTTGATATTGTTGTTGTCGCCACCGTCCCCTCGGAAACGGTCGGCTAGGTGCCCTACGATGGCATCGGTTATGGCGCGCAAGGCGTCTCCAAGGCCAGAGCAACAGATAAACCGGGTAGAATACTCGACGGGGAACCATCCGTTGGATATTTTTTGGAATTCTCCCGTGAATTGCTACGATATAATGATGTTCCTGCTTCAGAAAATATCCCCAGCTCGGCGCAGTCTGGCCTGACATAGCTCATTGCGTTTCATCATGTGTAATGGCAACAACAAGAGCTACCATGGTTTGCAGTACTGGGCCATCCGACCACCCAACAACTATCAATTGCTTTTGATGCCTTCTCATGTGCTTGATTTGTTAGCACCGGCTACGCACATCGGATATCATTACGAGCAGCAAAACAACTCTTCAGTGCGTCCACTATGCAGGGATCATGAGTGACGGTGCCGCCGCAGGAGCCGCTTTCTTCAAACCCCGGTGGTAGGCTGCCCCACGGCGTATACCGACGCTTTCAGCACCTTGGCGGTGATCACGGCATCCATCTGGTCGCCGAAGCGCACCATGGAAGATCACCAACAGCCTCGTATTTCTGCAGAACAAGTTCCATACATAAGCGGCGCTGATGGTGGCAGCCCTAAACCCTGGGGCTACGACACCGCTCCCTAGCTCCTCGAGCATCGATTGTTCAATGCCTATCCTCTGCCAATCAGCGCAAAGAAGGATGCGCTCAAAGGGCCACCGCGCCACTCTGAGAGCTTATTGCGAAGCTTCCCATGCCTAACTTTGCTCTGGTTCCTGCTGGAGTTTGTGTTGATCGTCGGCTTTAGCAATCCGAATTCCGGACCAACAAACTCGTAGGGACGCTACTATCAACCCAAGTTTTTGGGAGCTGTTGGGCCAGCGCGGATTCGATCCGGCAAGACGGGTCTGGACCATCTAGGGAGAGCCTAGCTCCCTTTAGCATTCCACCAGCCAGCCATGCACGGTCTGATCAAAAAAGTCTGGACCGCAAATTTTTTCCCCACCACCACAAAAAAAGGAGCCCATTCAATCTGCAATTATTTTACCCTTTGCATTTATAAAAAGCGAAAAACGTTATTGTAGCTATAAGTAATGCTTTTTGCATCAAGATAATCACAAATCCCTTGAACGCGTGTTTTTTT